ATACACACACACACACACACACACACACACACACACACAAATGTTAAGTCACATTTTTGTTTCTACATAGGTTAGCAATGTTTTAACATGAAAATTATGCAGGGAAACATTGCTTCAATCATCAAAAGGTGTTTAGTATATAATGGATATAAGTAACTTCCATTATTGCTGGGATTTACAGTCCTAAATCTACATAACAATTAATGACAGAACAGGCACCATAACTTATATGGGCATATCATAAGCCTAAAGGTTTTGCACCCATAGATAATTTTTACTTTACCTTTAAAGTCAGTTTACAATCATTCTGCTGTGAATGTCATCTGCAGTTTGTAGTGTTTTGTGGGAACAGCAAATTAGAAACATTGACTTCCCCACTCCCCAAAAAGCCATCTTCTTCTTTTGAAAGAAAAGTTAATAGATTCTAAGGTACCATTGTGATCATCTATGCTGACCTCCTGTAGAGCACAGGTCTTCCCCAAAATAAATCCTACAGCATATCTTTTAGAAGAACATCCAATCCTGATTTAAGAATGGTCAGTGATGAAGAATCCATCACGACCCTTGGTAAATTGTTCCAATGGTTAAATCACCCTCACTGTTAAAAATGAACACCTAAATTCCAGTATGGATTTATCTAGCTTCAACTTTGAGGGACTGAATAGTGTTATATCTTTCTTCATTAGGCTGAAGAGCCTATTATTAAATACTTATTCCCCATGTAGGTACTTAAAAACAGTAATCCTGCCACTCCTTAACCTTCTCTTTGGTAAACTAATCAGATTGAGCTCATTGAGTCTACCATTATAAGGAATGTTTTCTAATCTTTTGATCATTCTCGTGGCTCTTCTCTGAACCCTCTCCAATTTATCAACATCCTTCTTGAATTGTAGGCACCTGAACTGGATGCAGTATTGCATGCAGCAGAAGCATTTTTTATTCCAAGCTGCATACATTTAGCCATATTAAAACACATTTTGTTCGCTTGCTTGTGCCCAGTTCACCAAGCAATGTGATTGCTCTTAATCAGTGACCTGTCAATTTTGTAATTTACCACTCCCCCAGTTTTTCTGTCACCTGCAAGCTTTATTAGTAATGATTTTATGTTTTCTTCCAAGTTATTGATAAAAATGTAAAATAGTGCAGGGCCAAAAACCAACCCCTGCGGGACCCCACTGGAAACAGACCCGCTTTGTGACAATTCTGCATTTACAATTACATTTTGAGACCATCAGTTAGCCAGTTTTTAAACAATGTAATGTGTGGCATGTTAATTTTATATCATTCTAATTTTTTTTAATCAAAATGTTGTGCTGTATCAAGTCAAATGCCTTACAAAGGTCTAAGTATATTACATCAACACTATTATCTTTATCAACCAAACTTGTAATCTCATTTTTTTAAAATATCAAGTTAGTTTGACAGGATCTGTTTTCCATAAACCAGTGTTGATTTGCAATTATTACATTATCCTCCTTTAATTCTTTATTAACGGAGTCCCATATTAGCCACTCCATTATTTTGCCTGGGATCAATGTCAGGTCGCCAGACTTATAATCACCCAGGTCATCCCATTTACCCCTTTTAAAAAGGGACACAACACTGGATTTCTTCCAGTCTTCTGGAACTTCCATGGTGCTCCAAAACTTATTGAAAAATCAACATTAGTGGTCCAGCGATCTCCTCAGTCAGTCTTTTAAAATTCTTGGATGCAAGTTATCTGAACCTGCTGATTTAAAAATGTCTATCTTTAGTAGCTTCTGTTTAACATCCTCCAGAGATGCTAGTGGGATGGAAAGAATGTCACCATCACCATATGATGAGACTATATCACCCCTTTTTCCACAAATGCAGAACAGAAATGTTTATTTAACTCTTCTGCTTTTTTCCACCATTTCCATCTAGTAATGGACCAATACTATTGCCAGAATTATTTTTGTTCCTAATATATTTAACAAACCCCTCCTTATTGTCCTTAACTTTGTTGGTCATATATTTCCCCTTGGGTTCCTTGACTTCCTTTATCAATTTTTGACAATTCCTTACTTCTGATCAACTTCCCTTTTCTTCCATTTGTTATAATTTTTTACAGTTGCCTTCACTTCCCCACTAGACACCAGGTTAGTTTTTTAGCCAGAATTATATTACAAAGTTAGTTATGCATTAAATGAGGCATCCAGGACAATTGTATTTTCATTCTTGAATGTTTAAACAGTCTTGGTGCATCAAATCTTTCTAAAACTGGCACCAGAACTCCAAAATACGTACTTCGGAATCACATTTAGCACCTGCCTAGAAGAGAGATACTAATAGGATTTGAGTTCTCCTGCCACCATAGAAGTAGTTAAGATTGGAATTCCTGCACTGGGACTGTCTGGATTTAACAGGATAAAGGAGTTCATACTACTTTAGAATATATTACAGGATTAAAAGAATCACTATCATAAAATTGGGATGTCAAGAGGAATATTGAAAGATTTATCTCAGTTTAAGATACTCACCAACCCTGCAATAGGGGTCGACAGTCTATTTATCTTTTTTACCAGTCCAGGCTTTATTGCATTCAGCAACCTGTCATGAGAAAGAAATATTTTAAAATTAGTTACAAAATATGAATAAAAAGCCTTTTGCCCAGCATGTAAGTAACTAAATTACATAATTGAAAGGGAAGAAACACCTATAAAATCATTAACAGAGTATTAAATAAAATATCCAAAATTTATAACTCTAGATCAGGTCAGTGTCTATAAGCCCTTGATAAGCTTTGATCCAAATCAGATCACCACACTCCACATTCGGAGGACCAGACACAGCACAGTGGAGGACTGAGTGGGGGAGGAAAAGTCAGGGTGCTTATAAAGGAGTGGGATGGAGAGGATAAAATTGCAGCTTCTTTATTGTAGGGGTAAGGAAAGGGAAAGGTGTGTGCCCCTCCAAGCAGCCAACAAGGAGGCCCCAAACTTTCGGCATGTGCATTTGAGGTTGAATTATGACCCTGAAATACTCTCACACACTTGGGGTGGTGATCTTCCCCCTCAAAAACTAAAAGGCAAATAAAATAACCCCAACTATTTTTAAAACAAACAAACAGTCTCATGATTTGGGGGGCCCAATTCATGATTTTTTAATGCTTAGTGTCTACAATATTGCAGTTACCCATTCACCAAACTTAGGGGAGATGTGTGAAAACAACTTCACAGTTCTTCTCCATGAAACTCAAACAGGACATAACAACATTTGTAGCTCCGTGGATCTAGGAGGAGGTGAGTAGGAAGCAGAGGCCAGGGGCAAAGCAGCAGGCCTGGAGCCAGGAGTAGTCAATCCTTTCACATCATCCCTCAGAAATGGACTACATAAAAAAAGTAACACTGACTATCAGCATTATCTTGCATGCAAATCCCATGTACTCCCTAAAACACACACACCTTCAGAGGGAGCCGGAGATGGATGCAGGTGACACTCCCAGTTCAGCTCCTAGGGAAGCCAGGTTGTCAAGGGATCAGGATGGCCTGGGAACTACCTCCCCTTTTCTTCCCTCCGCTACCTACCCAGTAAGTACAGACACTAAGCCAGGGACCTACTCTAGATTCCAGGTGGAAGGCCTCACAGAAGCTCCTCCTTTTTCTATTTTTGTTCTCCTCCTATGTCCTTTGAGATCCTTCACGCATTCCATAGGAAGGGAGAATAACCTCCATTCTCCCTCTCTGAAGAGGACAATCAGCCCAAAGTTCTCAAAGTTAAACTGCAGGCTCACCACAAAGAGGTGTTGATGTGCCTCATGGTTAGAGTATATCCAAAGATTTTAAATGTCCAAAAATTGCCAAACTATGATCACAAACTCCAATATATTACGAGACAAAAGCCTAATACCATGAGGTAAAGAATTTAACCAATCCACCACAGAGAAAATATCAGATGAGAAAATTTATTTCATTTTCAAGGTCTTTATATACCTTGTGTGGGGAAAAGGCAAAGTTAGAGCGCTCAGTTAATATTTTTAAAATCCTAAATGATAACCTTAGTTTGTAGGATGGAAGGGATATATCTTATTTTCCAATAAGTCTGAGCACTCTAAGTCAATGGTTCCCAAACTCCCCCTCCCTCCCCCACGCCTCCCAAGGACCCCTTTGGCATCTTACCAAGTGTTGTCCCAGACTGCTTTAATTTCTGTACTACCAGAATGTCCCCGCTAGCATTACCTCACATGCAAAATGCACAAGAGGTCACATTGTGTGGAGGATGCAATTTTGTCCTCCATACAGCAAAGTGCCAGAAAACCATTCCAGCGCATTCTGGCCCTCATTCAAGGGACAGATGACTGCATAACCCATGGCAGATCACCAAGAGTCCAGGGACACCACTTTGGGAACCACTGCTCTAAATTAACTGAATCTCCATTCCAGAATCCACCATTTGATGGCCTGCTGTGACTGCAGGTGGAAATAAATAAAAGCAAAGATTCTGACATGTTTTACTTGCAGGTTTGCATATTTACTGTGGCCTGGTCTACACTACAAGGTTAGGTCCTTTATCTAGGATGACCCTAACAGTGCTCCAGCAGCTGTCCCACAATGCCTGATACTGACCCCTCTGCTCACAAGAATTCTGCTGCTCAGGGATCACAGACACCAGAAGCCGCCCACCCCCTATAAAGCCCCATTAATTTTTGAAATTCTTTTCCTGACTGTCCAGCTTGGTGAACATGCCTAGCAGCTTGCCATTATTATGCAATTGTCCTGCTGACCATACTGGTAACATGCTCCAGATGTGCTCTAGCCTGTAGTAGACTGGAGATACTGGATCTCCTGGCCTTGAGGAGAGAGCAGGTTATGTGAGCACAGCTACGGACCAACCGTAGAAACACACATCTATGAGCAGATTGTGTGGGGGATGCAGGAGAAGGGGTTCAAACAGGGACCAGCAGCAGTACCGCATGAAAGCCAAGGAACTGCGGCAGGCAGATCAGAAGGCCAGGGAATCCAGCAGTCAATCCAGTGCCGAGCCGCAGACCTGCCACTTTCATGAAGTGCAGCATGCAATACTTGGCGGAGACTCCATCACCAACCTGCACACCACTGTAGATACCTCAGAGGAGCCAGAGTCACAGGCCCCTGCCATGAACAGCAAGGATAAGAAGGGGGGGGAATATGCGACCAGGAGGTCCAGTTATGCTGTGAGCCAGGACGCCACTGCAGTCCAGACAGTCCTGGCATTCGAGCACGGGAGTGCCCAATGCAGGGGAAAGAACCTCAGATAACTGTGTAAATGTATTTCCCATTACAGCAATGGCATCCCCAACTTAGCAGGATGCAGTTATTGACTTTTCAGGAATTTACTCACACTAGAAGAGGAAGCAGTACAACAAAGAGGTAGAGTTATGTGCTTTTCATTTCCCTTGTAGAGTTAGGTGAGGCGGGGGCCCCATTGGGAGCAGTTTGTTTATGTACACAGGGATGTCCCTTGGATCCTTCTGAGAGAACTCAAAATTTTCATAGAGATACTCTGCAGTGCTCTCCCAAAGGTTTCTAGGGATGGCAGCCTTATTTCTTCCTCCGTGGTAGGACACTTTCCCACACCATTCCACAATGACTTTGGCAGGCACCATTGCAGTAAACAGGCTAGCACACGGGTGGGCAAACTACGGCCCATGGGCTAGATGCAGCCCACCAGCCGTTTTAATTTGGCTTTGAGCTTCCACTGAGGAGCGGGGTCTGGAGCTTGCCCCGCTCTGGTGCTCTAGCCGAGGACCAGGGTCGGGGGCCGCTTCCGGCAGGAAGATGCACCAAGACATAAGGGGGTTCTCCAGCAGCAAACACAGATGCTGCAGACTCTTGGGGACCTAAAGATAGAAGAAACATGGACTCACCCTCTATTTGCAGTTCATGGAAAACTCCACTGCAGCACTTCCCTACACCCACCTCATCATTCCATATGGCATCAGGGGCTGCATTCCTACCCCATCACTCTGCACCAGGGCACAGTAAGGACACCCCCAGGTTCACACACGCTGACCTGTGAGAGCCATGGCTAATATATGTGTAGCTAAAATGGACATGGATGTTCCTTCCCCTTCTTAAATTTTTGGAACACAGCTTAATTAAGGCTTTAATTTATTTGCTTTTAACTTGTACAGAAGTTTTTTAATAAGTGTTTTTGATACTCAGTAAAACTGTATTATTTGGAAAGTTAGCTCCCAACACATGCTGCAGAATGCCTGGCGATACTGAAAACACCCACTTTCTTGTTATTGTGCACTGTGACAACTCTTAGGGTCAGTGACAAACACTGTAATAATCATAAATGCACAGTACACCACAAAATTAATAGGTGCATTCTCAGTGTTATATTCATAAATGTACACCAAGCACCATACAATCCTAACAGACTCCCAAACTGCTGTCCCAAGATGAGCATAGGAAACCACAATGCATTATGTGGCTCACTGCTGAAGTGTTCTTTCAAAGCCTCCCTGAGCCGTGTAGCTCCATGTTGAGCTTTTCTGATAGCTCTTGTGCCTGACTGCTCAACTCAGCAGACAGCCGCTCCATCTCCGCGCTCCACCCCAGCAGCAACGTTTCCCACCCTTTGCTTCACAGATATTATGCAGGACACAGCAGACAGCTAGAACTGTTGGGATATTTTTCTTACTGAAATACAATCTTTGAGTGAACAACACCAGCGCCACTTCAATCCACCAAAAGCACATTCAATTGTCATTCTGCAACTGCTCATCTGGTAGCTGAATCTTTCCTTGCTGTTGTCGAGGTGGCCAGTGTACAGCTTCATGAGGCAGGGCAGTAAGGGCTAGGCTGTGCCGCACAGGATCACTATTGGCATTGCAACATCACCAATGGTAATCCACTGATCTGCAAAGTCAGTCTCTTCTTGTAGCTTTCTGAACAGTCCTGTGTTCTTATAGACGCGAGCGTCATGCACCTTCGCTGACCGGCCAACACTGATGTCAGTGAAGCATTCCCAATGATCCACCAGCGCTTGCATAAACATAGCAAAATAGCCATTTCTATTGATGTACTCTCTGGCGAGGTGGGCTGGTGCCAAAATAGGGATACACGTGCCATTCATCCCAATGGAGCGGTGGAGCAAATCCTATTGCTGCAAATCTATCCATTATGTCCTGCACATTGCTGAGAGTCACAGTCCTGCAAAGCAGGAAACAATTAGCAGCCATACATACTTGCATGACAATGGCCCCCACAGTGGCTTTTCCAACTCCAAAATGACGTCCCACTGACCAGTCGGAATCCAGCGTTGCAAGTTTTCACTGCAATCACCACTCGCTTCTCCACTGTCAAGACAACTCATTTTGGTGTCCCTGTGCTGGAAGGCTGGCCCAAGCTCAGAACGCAGATCCACGCCTTGTACGTCCAAAAGTTCTGCAGCCATCACTCATCATCTCAAGCCTGCCTTATGAGATCCCATCAGTCGGGGATCATTCTGCAGGCCCAAAAGCAGCACTCCACCATCTGCAACTGCTCTGTGAACTCCACCAAGAACCTTGAATTGGTTCTTGGGATGTCCTACAGCAATCTGCCAGCTGGGAAATTGTCATG